TTATGGCTCTCAAGTTACATTGCTGAAAGAATGTAATTCAGAAAATTTCAAGATTAAATTACATTAAAGCCTATATTCAGGTTTTTAAATTAACTATAAGAATATTTTTACTCTTTAAATGGGTTCTATTTTTCCATTAGGAAAAAATATTCAATAGGTTATTAAAAAGTAAAAAATGAAAATAAAAAGCAATGCTTTTAAATGTGCTTATTCCTTTTAAAATTTCTTTCAGTAAATTAAATTGTAAGGGTATTATGTGACTTAGGCGAGAGAATAGAGTGCTATCATCATCCATCTCAAGGCTACAAGTACTCTGCCCCTAAGTAAGCATAATTGCGTTTTTCATTTTCTGCTTTTGAATGCTTTTTTCAGGGAAGTCTGTGCACCACATGAGTACCTAATGCCCACAGACAGTACCAGACTTTATGAGATCTCTCGGAACTGGAGTTACAGACAGTTGTGAACCATCGGGTAGGTGTTGGGTATCAACCCTGGATCCTCTGGAAGACATCCAGTGATATTAAAGGATGAACCCTATCTTCAGACCCTAGTTTATTTGTTGTTATTTTTAAACATTATTTGGGATGTCTTTAGGAATAGTTGCATCATATCTGCAGGTAATTTTGGCTCTGTCAGTTGGCTTGAGGTTTCTTGAATGTCAGAAAAATGTAAAAATGATTACAGGGTGAGGGGCTGTGTGTTCCCTCTCATATCCATTTCAATGCCCTGTCTTTCTGTCCTATTTTGGGACAAACAGACCTCCCCATGCACAAATATAAATATAGACAATCATATATCGCAGGATACAAAAGTCAATCTAGAATGAACAAATGATCTACACAGGACTAGGGAGACATCTCAGAAGTTAAGAGTGCCTTTTGCTATTGCAGAGGACCTGACTTCAGTTTCCAGCACCCAGTTCCAGTCTCTGAGCAACAGTGACAGGAACCCCAATCTTCCCCCCTTCTTAAGTGAAGAAGGGTTAACATTTTAATTAAAATGAGTTTTGTGTCCCAAAGTTTAAAACAATTGTTTAGTCTGCACCTTAGCTCCAAAGCAAACCAGAATTCAAGCTGCAGAAGCAGTTTAGCATTTGTGCTCCAGGGCAGGTGGGATTTCTGAGTGAGGTGAGCTGGATTCAGCTATCTGGAGCACATCCTGGCACTTATCTCAGCCGCGTCTCCCTGACTCTCTAGAGGCAGTATGACACCCTGCAGAGTGGAGCAGCAGGTTCTGTTATCAGGTGCTCCTCTCCTTGGGGGCAGGAAAGGCCGGACCAAGGACCTCTCCCCAGTTGCCTCTGGAACTCCTTTGTGGGGCGGCTGCAGCCTCGACATCATCCAGATCCAGATTTTATTTTCTTTCTGTGAAAAAAGCATAAACATATCATCGACCCAAAATATATATAGGTCGGGTTTTTTCATAATGCATTGTAAGGGCTTTTTCCACCATTCCCTAGCAAAGATCAGCTTGGTGTTATCATGCCAGATCTGTTTGCATCAGGATGTGCTTGCAACTTTTATGATTTGCTTTGAAGGAACCTTGTTATGCTCCACAATTTTTTTATTAGCCCTATATGCAGTTCTTCCATTGGAAGAGCCATTTGTAAAATTTAGCATAAAAGGCACGCCCGCAAGGGACCCGAGGGGCTAGTGGCAGCGGGGGAGGCCATGAGGACAAAGGCGCTGAGGGCAGCAGACCTTGGCGCCCCAGCCCCCCCCCACCCGCCGCCGCCATGGGCATCAGCAATATGAGCCCAGGAACCCGCCTGCGGGGAGGATCAAGGCAGAGGGTTCAAAGGCTGGGGAAGTTCTTGGAAGGCGGCCACTTGGGAGATCTGTTCCTTCTCGAGAGTCTAATCCAGCACTGCCCTTGGGAAGGAGCTCCCCAAGGAACCCCCACAACCTCATGCTGGAGGCAAGAGTGGACATGCTCGGCTCCAGTATGATCATCAATGGCCCGGCTGCAGACCTCGGTGCTAAAGAGGCCAGCAGGCCCTCGAAGAAGCAGCCTGGCAGCGTCCAGAAGCCTGGGCCATCCACCCGAGACCGAGCCCCTCAGCATAAAGGACAAGATATCCAAGTGGGAAGGCAAGAAGGAGCCACCTACTCCTGAGCCTGCCAGGCCAACGGAGGGCCAAGAGAACTACTTGCCACCCTGCGGGGTAGAGCGGAGAGGCAGCGAGGTCACCAGAACAAAGAATGGGTTGAGGCTTGAAACAGAGAGCTTGGAAAATGACAGCAGAAGGACAGCAAAGACCACGTGTCAGGACACAGACCGGTGGCCAGGCCTGAGGCAGAGTGATGGGCAGCCGGAGCCCAGCCAGCGCCGAGGTGTCGAGCTGAAGCCCAGTGACTTGCGTTTTCAGAGTGACCACCTCTCCGCGCTCAAACAGGTCAGGAGACTGGAGAAGGCCTTGAAGGATGGCTCTGCTGGCTTGGACCCCCAGTTGCTGGGGACTCGTTATTCCCCACACTGCCTGACAAAGCAGAAGAGGACCAGCACATTCCCGAGAGTCCTGGAAGTGGGGGTGCTTTTGCAGCTGGCCGCAGGGCCCACCCCTTGGAGGACAAGGAGCCAGGCCCTGAGGCTTCAGAGGAGTGTAAAGGCCAGGAGAGTGTATACCCGGGCTCCAGGCAGTGTCCCCGAAGCCTTTCATCAACCCCCTTCCCAAGCCCCGCAGAACGTTCAAACATGCAGGAGAAGGGGACAAGGACAGCAGTCCTGGGAGCTCAGGCATTGGCTTCAGGAAAGAGAAGAGAAACCTGCCTCCCCTGCCCTCTTTACCTCCCCCTCCCCCACCGCTACCCTCCTCCCCGCCTCCTACTTCTGTGAATAGAAGACTGTGGACTGGGAAGCAGAGACCCAGTGCTGACCACAGGAAGTCCTATGAGTTTGAAGACCTACTGCAGTCCTCCTCTGAGAGCAGCAGGGTGGACTGGTACGCACAGACCAAGCTGGGACTCACATGCACTTTATCGGAGAACGTCTACGAAGACATTCTAGATCCACCTATGAAGGAAAATCCGTATGAGGACATCAAGCTACATGGCCGCTGCCTGGGCAAGAAGTGTGTCTTGACTTTCCCTGGATCTCCCACCTCTTCCATCCCGGACACTTTCACCAAGCAATCCTTGTCCAAGTCTGCATTTTTCAGGCAAAATTCAGAGAGAAGAAACTTCAAACTGCTGGACACCCAGAAGCTGAGTCGGGAGGGAGCTGGGTCCCCAGTGAGAGCCAGCCCCCCCTAAACAGCTAGCAACCCGGATGACACTTTCTTTAACCTCGGAGACCTACAGAATGGCAGGAAGAAGAAAAAGATCCCCAGGCTGGTATTGCGGATCAATGCCTTTTATGAGGCCCGGAGAGGAAAGAAACGGGTGAAGAGGCTATCCCAGTCCACGGAGAGCAACTCAGGAAAAGTGACAGACAAGAACAGCGAGTCTGACAGCGACACCGAGGAGAAGCTGAAAGCCCACAGCCAGCGCCTGGTCAATGTGAAGTCCCGCCTGAAGCAGGCCCCTCGCTACTCCACGCTTGACCGGGATCTCAGCGAGTACCAGTAGAGGCAACTCTTCGAGTACTTTGTGGTCGTGTCTTTGCACAAGAAGCAGGCAGGGGCTGCCTATGTGCCAGAACTCACCCAGCAGTTTCCTCTGAAGTTAGAAAAGTCATTCAAGTTCATAAGGGAGGCTGAGGACCAGCTGAAGGCAATGCCCCAGTTCTGCTTTCCTGACGCCAAGGACTGGGCTTCCATCCAGGAGTTTACCAGTGAAACATTCTCATTTGTCTTAACTGGAGAAGACGGGAGCAGAAGGTTCGGTTATTGCCAAAGATTGCTGCCTGGAGGCAAAGGGAAGAGGCTTCCTGAAGTTTATTGCATTGTGAGCCATCTGGGATGTTTCAGCCTCTTTTCAAAGTTCTTGGATGAGGTGGAAAAGAGAAGAGGCATTTCCCCTGCTCTGGTGCAGCCCCTCATGAGGAGCATCATGGAAGCCCCTTTCCCAGTCCTGGGCAAAATCATCGTTGTCAAGAACTTCCTGCCAAGCTCGGGGACTGTTGTGATTGAGCTGTGTTGGCCCCTGGACTCCCGGCTGGAGCACGTGGATTTTGAGTCTCTGTTCTCCTCCCTCAGCGTCTGGCACCTCATCAGTGATTTTGCCTCCCTGCTCCTGGAAAGGAGGGTCATCTTCATTGCGGACAAACTCAGCACGCTGTCCAAGTGCTGCCATGCCGTGGTGGCGCTCATCTACCCCTTCAGCTGGCAGCACACCTACATCCCAGTGCTGCCACCCGCCACGATTGACATAGTGTGCTCACCCACGCCCTTCCTCATCGGGCTGCTCTCCAGCTCACTGCCGCTGCTCAGGGAGCTGCCACTGGAAGAGGTCCTTGTGGTCCATCTCATCAATGATCGGTTCCTCAGACAGATGGAGGACGAGGATTCCATTCTGCCCCGGAAGCTTCAGGTAGCCCTGGAACACATTCTGGAGCAGAGGAATGACCTGGCCTGTGACTAGGATGGAGGCCCACTGGACTGCGTGCATGGCCCTGAGTTCAGCCCCTTGAATGCGGTGGCGTCTGAAGCCTTTGTCCGATTCTTCGTGGAGATTGTGGGCCACTATTCCTCGTTCCTGACCTCGGACGAGGAGAGGAGCCTGCAGCGAGAGGCCTTCAGAAAAGCTGTCTCCTCCAAGAGCCTGCGCCGCTTCCTGCAGGTCTTCATGGAGACCCAGACTTTCCGTGGCTTCATCCAGGAGCGGGAACTACGCAGGCAGGATGCCAAAGGTCTGTTTGAGGTCCGAGCCCAGGAATACCTCGAAACCTTGCCCAGCGGAGAACACAGCGGAGTCAATAAGTTCCTAAAGGGTCTGGGCAATAAAATGAAGTTTCTCCACAAGTAATAACCCTCATCTTGGTTCAAGGGAAGACCTCCTCCACTGGGACCACACATTTCCAACAGAGGTCTGAGAGGCTGTGGGCTGAAGGCAGTCCCAAGCCCCAGCTCCTCCTAGAACGGGGCCTGCGAGCTGGGCACGTGGCAGGTGCTCAGGACAGCCCTGGAAGGGACCTGCCAACATGCAGCTGTTGTTACTGTGGTCGGTTCTGGGATCTTTATATCTAGGTATTAAAAGAGATTAAAAGAGAAGAAGAAAGGCGTTTGGGTCTTCATTCTGTCTTGCCAGGGCTAAGAAAACTCCCTCCTGCCCTACCTCATCTCTTCTGGGTCAGCTGTTGACAGCTGTGGAGCCAGGAGGAGGGAGGAGATAGGTAGAGTGGCTGCCACCACCCATCCAGGTTCTTGTGGACTGCTCTATGACGCCACCTGGTGGCAGAGACCGTGAGCTTCGCTGTTCTTGACTGGGTTTTTTTTGCCCCTTAGAAGGAAGTCACGTAGACCTGTTCTTGCCCTAATACCACACATAAAAAGAGGAAAACTTGTTAATTGTTAATAAAATATTCTTAGGGTCCTGAAATGGATATCTCCTGTGGCCTAACCGTGACACTTAGACCTCTGCTGTGAACCTATTCCTCATAGCTGACAGACCTTTCAGGCTTCTGTAGTTGGTTCTCTTATTGAGAGGGAAGAGCTGGACAAGGTCACAGTCAGATGACCTGTGTGGGACAGTGGGAGTCTGTGAGTCCTGTGTGTACACAGGAAGGGTCTCAGGCTGGCCTCGGACTACCACCCCAATACTGTGGACACCCAATGGATTGTATGAGAAAGTAACTTCTAGCCCACATGGCCTGGAGTGGGGCGGGAGTAGTGGGAGGGGGTGTGGCTGAGGCGTTGGGGGAAGCCTGAGTGAGAATGTGAGCATGGGGGCTCACACAAGCGCCTCGGTTTAGTTAACTTTCATGATAGCAATGCTCTGTGTATTTTTATACTGCCCCTAAGTGATCACTTTTAGGATTTTGGAATATACAGTCTTTTCTAACTTATTTTCTATTATACTGTTTTACTTAAGAACTCCAAGTGAATGAATAAACAAATATCTTTATCAACATTCCTAGTGAGTGTATAATATTCTATAATATTATGAATGTTTTTGTATTTGATATAAGCATAAAAACAAAAATAAATTTGGGGAAATGTGCTAAAAATTAGCATAAAATTCTTTAAGGGATTTTTTGCTATAACATTAGCAAAATACAGTTGTGTGAATTGTAGCAATGATCTGGGAAAAGATTATTGTTTTTGCCTTTGAATTGAGCAAAGACAATTGTCCAGGAACCAGTCTTAAAATTATCAATGAATCTATTGTTTAGTATAAGAAACACTGATCATAGTCAATATTCTGTCAAACAATTTTTCAGCTTTTATCCTGTCCTTTTGTATCAGACAGGCTACTGTTTTAAATTAAGAGTTTAATATCTTAACTGGCAAAACTGGGAAGGTTTAGCCACAAACAGCATTTTTTTATAAAACTGTTGTAGAATAAGTTTGTACTTAATATACACACTTGCCATAGCTGAATTATAATTAATATACTGTATTTGTTGATTATTGCATACTTTACCTTTTGATTTATATTTTACCTTCTTGAGTATCTGTTAGGCAGCTTGCTTAAGCTTTCTATTGAAAACTGTTTTTTTTTTGTAAGAATTTTATCTATTGGCTCAAGGTCCCTCATAAGACTATTATAACTAGAGCTTTAACCATTGGACATCCAACCAAAAGTTTGCAAGCTATCCTCCTCTTAAGTTTTAAGTCTGCCTTACAGATAGGAAAATGGAAAAAGGAAGCATTTTAACTAATAATGCTGGCCTCATTAGACACCAACATGTAGAAGAATGAAAATAGATCCATATTCATCTCCATGTACAAAACTTAAGTTTAAATGAGCCAAAGGCCTCAGCATATAAAAATTATGTTGAACCTCACAGAGAAAAAATTTTTTGAAGTACACTTTGCCACATCTCAAACACAGCCTCAGTGGCACAAACATTGTGAGAAACCATAAACTAGATCTCTTGAATTGAGAAACTTTTGTATAACAAGGCTATAGAGTGGGAAAAGATCTTTACTTACCATAAATCCCTTTCAAAAATATATGAAGAACTCAGGAAATTAGTTATTAAAAATTAATCCAATAAGAATATTTGTTACAGACCTAATCTGAAAACTCTCAGACGAACTTAAAAATGAGAGACACCTAAAAAATGTTTAAGCAGAACATCCTTTAGCCCTCAGAGAAATGCAAACCAAAACTCTGAGATTTTATTTTATCCTTGCAAAAATGACCAAGATTAAAAATTACTGCTAACAATTTATGCTTAAGAAAATGTGGGTAGGGAAAAAACTCCATTGCTGGAAGTGCAAACTGACAGTCACCTTTGGATCACACATAGTATTGAAAAACCTGGATAAACCAGACTCCCTCATCAGGAAGAGAAGGATCAAAAATCCAGGACTAGCCTGTTCAGCGACCCTGTACCAGGAACTGTCTGAAGACAAAGCCAGACCTTTACCTCGAAAAACGGGTTTTCCAGCTGCAATTATCACAGTACTGTTTTAGGAACTAGTGGATTATGACCCTGGGAGTGGTCCCAAGGCAGGCAGCTGTCCTCCTGCGACCACCACTGTATTTTTGGAATTTATGACCCTCCTGGACCACTGGGCTGTGGCCCCTTTTCAAAAATTTTCTCTTTAGGTCACTAGAGGCTGAACTCCTCCCCCCACCCCCCCCAACTAAAGCCACGTGCACTACCTCAGCAAGGCCGGCCTCCAGCGAGCCATGGGGAGACCTGAGTGAGAGTCTCCCCAGCACTGGGGGACCCCCATTATGTCTATTTTTTTAAAATTAGGCAAATATTTACCTCAAAACTTAGCAATAACCCTTTTGGGCCTAAATACAAAGTTGTTTAACCATAAGACCATGGGCTCAGACTTGCTTACAGCAGAGTTACTTATCATAGCCAGAATCTGAAAATAACCCAAATGTACCTCTTTTACACCTAGGATAAATGAGACATCATCCTTTTAAGTATCCATGAATACCACAAAATATCTTGGAATAACTTTAAGCAAGCAGGACAGAAGTTTGAGTCCCGTAATCTCTGCGTGTGAAGGCAGAAATGTTTTTTATTTTTAACCATTATCACTTGGTAGAGTATAACTCCTGCCCTTGATAAATTTAGTGAGAGGCTGGAGTCTCAGCAGTTTAGCCTGAAGCAACACCTGTCAGCAGGAAAGAACCTCAAGCTGAAACAATACGACTCCCACCCAAGAGCGGGCCGTACAAATGGAAAAACTTGTATGAGAATTTTAAATCTTGAGAGATCCCCTACTTTCTTGGGAAAGCAGAAGAAACACAGCAAAAATGACAATTTTACTGAAAGCAATCTACAGATTCAGTGTAAATGTCCATTAAAAATTATAGCAACGGGCTGGATAGATGGCTCAGTGGTTAAGAGCACCGGCTGCTCTCCCAGAGGTCATGAGTTCAATTCCCAGCAACCACATGGTGGCTCACAACCATCTGTAATGAGATCTGGTGCCCTCTTCTAGTGTGTGGGCATACATGGAGGCAGAATGTTGTATACACAATAAATAAATAAATTAAAAAAAATTATAGCAACATTTTTCACAGAACTCACATACAGATTTTAATGTAAATGTTCATTAAAATTATAGCAAAACTTTTCACGGAACTCGAAAGAACAAACCTCAACTTTATGAGAAAGAAATGAAAACTCAGGATAGCCTAAACAATTTTAAAAATTTTCTGAATGTATTACAATCTTTGATTTTAAAACTTTTTTACAGAAACACAGTACTGAAATTAATCTACCTTAGATATAAACTTAGACACCTACAAACTAAAGATTTTTGACCAAGAAGCAAGATTTTTAAAAATGGAAAAGAAGCATATTTACTGTCCTAAATGAAGCTGCAGCTTTTTGAGTCTAGATTCCTTTATAGCAAACCTGCCTGTCAGCTTTTGCTCCATATGGCAGGGGGTTAAAGACATAGGCTCTCTAGCCCTAGCAGCCAGCCTGCTTGGCAGGCATAGCTGTGTGGATTGTACCCTAACTTCTCGCATCTCGAGGGACTCCCTTTTGAGTCCGCAAGCAAACACATAAAGCAAACACATAAATCTCTCTTTTTGACTCTTACTCCTCTCTCCCTGATTGATTGATTTTTTTTTTTGAGACAGGGTTTCTCTCTGGCTTTGGAGCCTGTCCTGGAACTCGCTCTGTAGACCAGGCTGGTCTCGAACTCCCAGAGATCCGCCTGCCTCTGCCTCCCGAGTGCTGGGATTAAAGGCGTGCGCAAATTCCTGTATGAATTTCTCTTCCTTTGAAAGTCCCATATCTTTTTGGACGACAGTGATCCTGCGCCTACCTCATTCTGCAGATGTGTCTGAGTTCTACAGCCACAGAATCTTCTTTTATCTTCTTGTTGTTGTCCCGGGACCGCGCATCTTCATCCAATAGTTGGCCATGCTCCGAGTCACTGGTTCGGGCGCCACTGTAAACCGCTTTGGGTGGGTTACTCAGTCTAGGGTCTGTAACCCACCTGGCAGTTCAGCTATTCCAGGGTCCCGGAGAGGCACTATCTGGAAGATATGGGGGGAAAGAGGAAGAAGGCTAGGTAGATTTGTCGAAGCCTGCGCTTATTAGAGACAGTTTATATTACAGTTTATATAGGGTAAGGAATTGGGGGGGGGGCACAAGGGCCTGGACTCTTGTCGCATGGTTCACGTAGTTCACGTTGGTCACTAGGCCAGGAGGTTACATTCTGTCAGGTCACATAGGCGGGGAACTCACAACTAGGAGTTGACACACCTAGTTCTCTAGATAGTTTGGAATGTGGGGCGGGTTCCACTAACAGATAGCTCTCCATTAACAGCCAATTTGGGTATGGGGTAGGCTCTGTCAATAGAACGATTCCTAACACAATTAGGGGTGTGGGGTTCTCTGCAGACTCCCCAGGGTGATGGTCCCTGTAATGACTTTAGGAGCAAACAGCTCCTGACACCCTATCTTCAGACTCTAGTTTATTTGTTGTTATTTTTAAACATTATTTGGGATGTCTTTAGGAATAGTTGCATCATATCTGCAGGTAATTTTGGCTCTATCAGTTGGCTTGAGGTGTCTTGAATGTCAGAAAAATGTAAAAATGATTACAGGGTGAGGGGTTGTGTGTTCCCTCTCATATCCCCTTCAATGCCCTGTCTTTCTGTCTTATTTTGGGACAAGCAGACCTCCCCATGCACAAATATAAATATAGACAATCGTATATCGCAGGATACAAAAGTCAATCGAGAATGAACAAATGATCTACACAGGACTAGAGAGATATCTCAAAAGTTAAGAGTGCCTTTTGCTATTGCAGAGGACCTGACTTCAGTTTCCAGCACCCATATGGTGGGTGACAGATGTCTGTAACTCCAGATCCAGGGGAACTGACAGTCTCTTCTGGTCTCAGTGGGCATCTGCACTCAAACGTGTATTTGGCACACACAGACATACAGGCAGACCCTCAGTAAATAGGGAAAATAAACCTAAAAGAAGTCCAAATTACAACCTAAACATGAATCTTGTAGCAGAATACAATTGGATGTTCAGGTTCATGAATTACAAACAAACTTCTTAGATATGGCAAACCCCCTTTCATTAAATGAAGAACTGGAGTGTTACGAATTCCATAAAGTGAGAAAATATCTATTCTTCCAAATATATGATAGAAACATATTTTTCTTACCTGGGAAAATGAATGTGGGAAATTGTATATCAGATGACAGTCTTCTTGTATCCAGAATACAGAAAGCTTCTAAAGGAGACACTAAGAAAATAGACAATTCAGGAAATAAAACTTGACCAGAAGGGTGAGTAGATGCTCCACTAAGAGAAACATACAGCAGCAACATCCTTAACACTTAGGGAAGAGAGACAGGTTGTAGTAATAAGGGCGGCGGGGCTGCATCCCCGGCACCCGGCCGCCCCCACGGCTAGCTTTACCCAAAATAATTACACGGAAACTGTATTCATTTAAACACTGCTTGGCCCTTTAGTCCTAGCCCTTACTGGCTAATTCTGTTATCCCGATCAACCCATCTCTAATAATCTGTGAGCACCAGTCTTACCGGGAAGATTCTAGGTCGGAGCTTCATCTCGTGTGTCTGCCCAGGAGCGGGGCATGGCGTCTCTCTGAGGCGTCTGCCCCCGAGAGGAGAGCTGTGGAGTCTGAACTCACTTCCTCTTCCTCCCAGCGTTCTGTTCTGTTTACTCCTCCCACCTATCTTCTAACCAATAAAATGGGCCAAGGCAGTTCCTTTATTAGCCAATGACCTTCCTCCATCAACAGGTGACTCTGAGGGGACTCTAGACAACCCCATAAAATACTCAGAAATAAAGACTTGTCATACAAAGACCTGGCAAGTTTGTGGAGGATGACTCTCCCATACCCACTGCTGGTGGCCATGGAAAACAGGATGATAACTTGGAAAAATCTTTTTCTGTTTCTTCATATGTTAATTGTCATCTGGCCATCACAACCCAAATATATGACCTGGAGAAAGAGGACATATTTTCTTTTAAAGACTAATTTATTTCAGTTCACAACAGCTTTATATACAAGGCACTGAAATTGAAAACAACCTCAGCAACAGACAACAGGCAAAGACTCATTTCCCAAAACCAGCATGGCAGTTTTCAACTGTTAACTCCAGTGCCAAGGGATTCAATGTCCTCTCTTGGCTTCCATGGGCAACAGGCATGCATGCGCTCTTCATACCTATATGTAGGCAAGCATATATACACATGAAATAAACTAAATTATAAAACTTGCCGTGTAGCTATACAATGCTACACTATTTAATATTAAGAATGAACAATTATCATGGGAAACAAAAGAGATAAATTTAAACATATATTCAAGATAAATGAAGGCCAGATGTCTCTAAACTCTGGTTCTATCCTAATACATTCCAGCATATATAAATTTGTCTATAATATCAGATTGTGTAGTTTTCTGCAGACAGGGTATGGCAGTGGTTGGGTATGAGAACATAAGTAACATAAAGAAACTTTATGGATTGGTAAATAATAATGAAACTTATACCTACCTGAGTATAAGAAGATGTCTATTGTCATTATGGGGAAAAGTGGAAAAATACAAATTACGTTTTATATTTGGTGACTTGGACTTCAGAGATTGCCCCATGGTTAACAGGACTTGCTGTTCTTACAGAAGACCTGGGCTGGGTTCTCAGCACTCACTTGCTGGCCCACAATGGACTGCATATCTGTTTCTAGGGGAAACAACACCCCTTTCTGTCCAAGGCAGCACACCCTGATCCTGAAACCAGAGCAAAAGAAACATACACTGACCCTGAGACTAGAATCAATTCACTGGCCCTGAAACCAGAGCCCAACGTTTTAAAAAGGCCAGTGAAATAAACACACTTTGCCCCTGAAACCAAAGCCACAGAAACACACTCTTCCACTTACCAATTCAGCGAAACAAACTAACCAATCTCTCAGCATAAAAGGAACCAATCCCAGAGCAGGAAAACAAGCTAATCACTGAGCATGAAACCACCCTGTACCTGTTCAGTTGGTAGCTGCCTTTCACACTCTTGCAGGGTCAGCCACCTCCTGGACTCTTCCCTCCCAGTGAATCTCTTGAATGAGGCTTGGGTAAGACCTTCTTTGCCTAAGAAGAACAGAGAAGCAATGACTTCAACTGGAGTCAAGCGGAGGAGAGGGGAGCAGACCTGGAAAAGTTTCTCTTAGCAGAGCAGAGTTGTTACTCTTCTGAGGATCTAAGCAGAGCTGTAACAACCTGGTTGGGGTAACCCTCCCCTACCAGAGCAGACCTGTTAATTTGGGGCAAACTTTCCCTGAAGCAGGGCTGTGAGCTCCTAAGCTTAAGGTGAATTTGCAGTATTCATTGATGCCATCTTAAATGGATTCCTCTAGCCAATACTGGGACAAATGGAGCATGGAAATAGAGAACGGCAATAGATGAAAACAGTTTAGGAAAATGGGTGTTGAGCCATACTGATATAAGTCAGCACATGAGTAAAGAAATATGGAGATAAGTAAGCAGTGTACTACACACCAGGTCATCATTGAAGAGGACCAGGAGAATTATAACACATAACCTATCACAGCAGTAAGTGATTAACTAACATTCACACATATATATCCAGGGAGATATCTGCACAAGCATGAGCATATACACAACACACACTAACAATTGTCAATGTAAACACACAGCTCTCACCTCGAAGGAAGAAGTGAGTTCATTCTGGAATCAAATATCTGTGAATAAACATGATTGAGACAGGTTTATGTTAGTACAAATTGCATGTTACAATGTGGAAACAGTTTCATGAAGTTTTTATAATAACAGAATGAAGAAACTATAGACTCTCCTTCAGTGCATTGGAGATAATATTAAGTAGACTATTATGGTAAAGCAGAGAAACCTCAGCTTCTAGCTGCTATGTGATGACACGCAGTACTTTGACTCGCAGAAGCTTAGAGCTTTGTTAAGGAGACATATTCTGATATTTTAAATGTCAGGTCCAACGTCATCTGTTAGTGACAAGGTGTTAGGTAAGTCCAACACAGGGGGCCCAAGGAGTGGCTACTCATGGGCTCAAGAGAACACAAAGGAAACTGTAATTAGGCATTGGGACTGCGACTTCCACCATCTCCATATCACTGCAGGTCTAAGAGTCAATCAACCAGGCTTTGCAGACCAGCCTCTGCCAAGGAATTCCTGTACACACACACACAGACACCTCTCATTCTCACTCTCCTAGCTTCCTGGTATTTACTGAGAGCTCAAGGGCTACAATCACGTTACAACAGACTCATCTCTGACCACACACAGGATGGTGAGAGCTACTAAATTATGTGGTCTGAATGAGATTCCTGTGACGATGGCCATGGATTTGTCTCTGGGACATTTCTCTCATTTGTTTCAGACTGTCAATAATAACCTGTAAATGCCGATAAGAATTTAACGACAAACTGCATTACACATCAAATAACGTTTTCATCATGGGATAATCCATGCTTTCAACAAAAAATATCCTTTGTAAGTTTCATTGACACTTGTTTCCTGACAGTTTACAGAAGATTTAATAATTTGTTCACAGAAAAAACAATATGTATAAATTTGTTTAAAAAATAATAGCAGTTATAGATGAATCAAAAAGTACAAATATTTGTGCATTATCCCGACAGATAGATCCATAGTGCTGATAGGCCGAGAGATTTCCAAACATTGCTGAATTGGAGACAACCTGTCTTAATGAAGGACAACTATGTTCGCGGCTCAAACAATTCATTATTAGTAAGATGTCTGTTGATTCAAAACTGAGCTACAGATTCGATGCACTAACAACAAAATAGCACTTATTCTTTTTAAAAATTGAGTGGATAACTCTAAACATTGTAGACTAAATATATAGCTTGTGTAAACCTTAGAAACAGACAAATGTTAGAGAACAGCATTGCCTGATAGGAGACCTCTGTTTGAACCTACAGTAATTGGACCAGCATGCTATTGAATCAAAGTTGGCAAGAAAAAGTCCAAAACCAACATTCCACGCTCACATCCACACATTTACAGACCACTGCCTATATCGAGTCAACATTTTTCCTGTACCTGATGCTGGCATCAAGCTTGTGTGTAGTGTGTGTAGTGTGTGCTGAGAAGAACTGACCATACTCCTGCTGCAGCCTCCCAGGCACTGGGATTACTGGCATATGTACCATGATTGGATAATTGGAGAACTGATGTTTCACAAATAAACAAGGCAATTTGATGCATAAAGATGGCCTTTCAGGAAGCAATACTGAGGCAAGTGTATATCCATACCCACAAATATAAACTAGGACCTACATCGTATCATATGTGAAGACCATTCAAAATAAATTACAGATGTAAAAATATAAAAATCAGCCTATAAATGTCAAACAGAACACAAGAAGAAAATCCCTGTCACTGAGTGCCAGGCAAAGATATCGCAGACAAGACACCGAATAAAAACCGTAATTGAAGAACTAGAGAAGGTGGGATCTTACAATTTAAAATCTCCTGCTCTTCCAAAGACATGGATGAGAATTGAGATGATAAGTCTGAGGCTAGGAGAAAAGTTAGAAATACATATATCTGATAAAACATTTCTAACATTTCTATGAAACATACGGAAAACCTCAAATGTCAGCGAGCAATCTCACGCACAGAGTGGGAAGTCGGGATCACAGAGTGCTCATTTGGCCTCATTTCCCTCCTGCTCACTCTCCGACAACTCCCCTCCTGGACAATGGCTCCAGCACAGCCCTGTACAGAACAGCACAGGAGGAGGCAGAATGGTCCCAAGTCTCTCTCCTTCCGGAGAAACACAGGCTGCAAACCCCGAGGTAGGAGTGGTCCTACTTGGGTCTTGAATCCCTGCATCTGCCTCCCAACCCTCAGAAAGATTCTGGTGCTCACCTCCGGGAATCCATAAGCTCAACTCAGTCCAAACACCAGGAACTGAATGCTCCTTTCCAGGACATCGTCCGGTCGCCATTTGAAAAGAGTCGCCATAATGACCCCGGTTTCTATGACAACCGCAATGCTGCCTCCCCCTTAGTAACCAGGAATGGCTCCGCCCAGCCCTCCCTTACTTCCTCTCAAAGGAAGAACTCTTCACCCTTGTTTTCACCCAAGAAAGCATACCCATTAGAGAAACTGTCCCCACTACGAATGCAGAGCTTTTCTTTTTTTTTTCCGCTCTGTGAACAAAGCATATCCCTAAAAG